ATGGTACCGCCAGGATCCGGGACAGTCAGTTTGTGGAACTCGATTCGGCTCCATATTCCCAGGAGACATATCTCGGGAGGCGAGGTGCCGCACCAGTTTAGCTAAATGTAGGTTTTATCTGTTGAAAGTACATTAAGTTGGCGTCACGTCTGCGAATGACGTTTGCATGCGCTTCTCCATTTGGTTTCTATTCCTAATATATCAGCGAACATTTGGAAATACATCAATACAAGCTATCTCAATGTTTTACTGTCAATTATCAACTGTGGCATCTTTAGTAAATTCTAGACCTGCGGCCTCTCAGTCAGCTTTGTAGATGAGTAACGTCCAACAATGCCAATTTAGTCAAAGGCGTATCCAGGTCAAAACAAAAGGGAGGGCAGCCTCAACTCATTTTTCATGGTTTGATTAATATACTTTACTCTACTTGATAATGTTCGTTGTATATAATTTATATAGATCGCTTCCCAATGATTTGAATCTGCCTTCAAATTAATGACTAGACATATGCCGTACTGATGATTGCTAAAAAGCATGACACAACGTTTCATCCCTTTGGTTATGGCCGAGATTTAAATAAAAAAGATCATATCCAGTCTGTGTTTAGTTGATGCAACTTTTGCATAGAACGGCAAGCTGCAGCAAAAATAATAGTCACAGATTATACTATTTTAATCTCCCCACCTAAATATTTCGAAAACTACGCATCCCAAAGAAGAACTAAAAGTTGTAGGGTTTCCAAGAGACAAAATGACAGTGACCTTGGCAATGACCTTACCACGACCCTCAAGATTATTTTTATTGAGCCAGTACTTTTTTACACCGGAATTGGAAAGAGGAACTTTTACGAAGGCGAATATTACCTTGACTATAACCATGAACAAGGCCATTTCAAGTTCAAATAAAGTCATTAAAAACAAATTAATCTGGCAATAATTTGTTTGACCTTGAAATGACCTTTTAGGTCGAGATAAAGGTCATGGTCAAGGTAAGCATCATTTTGCCCCCGTCGAAACACACACACTGTATATAATGAAGTAGTAGTTAGGTGACCGTAACTAAGAACTCAGTTGTACTCACAAACTATTGCCCCAGGATTCATCCGATCCTTTCTTGGACGTAGTGGTTCTTTCAACAAATACATAAATTGCTAAAATTTTTCTGTCTATTAATAGCATTTAATTGTAATTCCACATCCCCAAGTATATGTTTTATAAGGGCTACGAAGAATGTATGCAATGATGGAATTAATGGGATTAATATAGAGCGGCTGTTTGCAGGAATGTTAATGAGACGTGACAAAGACTGCTGTCTGCGATCATATGGTGTATGAACAGGATTATAAAGCAGAAACCAGAAACTCTATTTCTGAGTTGAAAACGCCGAAGGGTTTGATGGAAAACTTCAGCCGACGACGGACAAATATGCGACGACCTTTCGACTATCATCTGGCATAATTCAAATGTCACATACCTATGATCGCATATAATTCTTGATTCAGGGAATAAAAGTGAGACACAGTTCTTCATCACCATAAGAAAAAAGCTCTTAGGCACCAAAAGGAGTATGATGAATCTAATCGCAGTGATAATCCTATTTCATAAAATTGTACATAGCGTCCTGTGAGGGTAATTCGATATATCACATTGATAGGGGATACTGCAGAACGCCTTTGGTCGCGGGGTCATGCCAAATGGTACAAATCTGTCAAAGTAACACGAGTTTATGTTTTGCACAACTCAGCCGGATTTTTCTAGAAATACTTCCTTTTCGCACAGTAATTTCATCGCTGTGTGTGCTTTTATAAATGAACATGGTGTCCTGTGCCATGATGATGCGCTATAAGCAATCCGCTGTAAATACCAAAAAATCGTCAGGCATAACGGTTTACAGATTAGTATAGTATAAAGACAACATGCGGGACCGAATTAAGGTGTTTAATTGCTCAATAGCTACTGATGTATAGAGAAACTTGATCCATATCTGTGCCAATATGATACCTACAAATGTGTTAATTCCTGGCCGCGTCCCTAACGTCGTTTTATATACCCAAAAGAGATTCTAACAGCGCCTCTCTAGATACTGTCTCTATGATATATCATCGTCTTCATTAACAAATTAGGATAACAATGATCCCGCCCTGTTGAATCTATGAGAAGGATATGCATGAGGCCGCAGTGCTATGATCTTTCTTTCATTTATTATTAGTAGTAATGCTTATTTGTAAATGTAATAAAGTAATATGACAATACTTGCAATCAGGCTACAAATAAACACAATATTCGCTGCAGCCAAATAATGCTTGTGCCCGACATTGAAGTTAAACTTGTACACTAACGAGATGTATTATGCATAATCAAAAAAATTAATACAATTTAACACAATAACTGTATGATGAAGATGATAAATCCAAATGAAATATTTAGAAGCAAGCAGGCGAATTAAATGTACCTAATGAAAAGAAAAAAAAAAAGAAATGCATACAGATGTCTACGGAGTGAGGAAACTGATTAAACGCGCTAAAAAATGTTTAAACCGGCGAGCTGTGCTGCAAAAAGTCGAAGCATTAACAGGATTCACTGTTTTAATTTCTTCTTGAATAATTATTTTGATTTCAGTGCTTTTAAGGTTTCCGGCATAAATGCATAATATCTAGGTGCTAGACAGTACCTTTGGCCAATAGTTTTGCGAGCCTGAGGGTTTAAAACGTCGTTACGTTTCAGCCTTGTATTATACTGATGCGAGACATCTTTGTGTAAGTGGGTTTGTTGGTATTGGAGCGCGAGTAAGGTATATTTGACGAATATCCAACATATTGATCAGTGGGGTATTTCGTTACCTTCCTCCAATACGGAATGCATATTATCACTTCAGCTTTCCCTTTCCAGTAAAACCGGCATCGCTGCCTTCTCGTATTCGCATTCTGTTGCCAGGCGGTGGCGACGGCATCCGCCGTACCGAGCCGTTCGATGACCGGCTGCCTCGCCGGGTATCTCCCACCAGCTCCTCCCTGTCTCCCATTCCCGTTAGTCCTGTTCCCATTCCTGTTGCCCGCTGCCAACACAATACGCCATGCAGCGCCGTCATCCTTCGGGGACACCGGATGTGGAAGTGGCGCTACGACCTCGCACCAGATGGCGCCTCTCATAAGGAACACCAGGAAGTGCAAGGTCGGGGTCACGTGTCGACTCGCCGGTCGCTGTTTGCCGTACGCATTCGCATATCGGCGTGAGCAAGGCCACTGCTGTCAATTGTCATTTCATAGTAGATGGACATTTAGGATAGGGCATAATTATCCATGTGATTCAAATATCGGTTGATTATTTTTATTTACAGTCTATCTACACTGCTACATTATGGTACCTTATTTTATATAAAATTACGAACGCTGATAAAAAATGGCGACAAGTAGGTTGACGCTGCACTTCCCACAGAACGCTGTTATCAGTTCATAAAGCATTATGTTCAGGACAAACGAGATCCTAGGAGAAAAACGTCATTCAAACAGGTACATACAATTAGTCCTTAGTCTCTGTCCGACTGGTAGTGTATCTGAAAAAGTCGCCTATCTGCGATACTTAAACCCCGTCAGACGTGGCAGCGCGGTCAGAGCATAGGAAACACTACGCTGCGCGCTATACCGCTGGACGCCACCCGGAGCAGCAACCCCAGCCGGTAGGTACACGATCCGTCGGGTGAGAATATTTTTATGTACGGAGAAATCTATGATGTGTAAAATAGGTCTAATAGGTGCGTACAATTACCAAACTTTTGGAGCCTATTAACGTACTAACGTCAAAAAATTGAGATAAACCCTCTCCACCCCTTACAACACCTACCCCCAAGTTTTTTATTTTTTTCAAAAATGATCAGGATCCTCTGAAACGTCAAAAAACAAAGTTCGGACTATTTTTATTCTTTATCGCTTTTGGCCTTTTTCTCTGCCGCCACTGGACAGATTTTCAAAAACTACAAAGCTTTTGCGTCCTTGGCATAGTGGATTTATTTATTTTTTAATTTTTAAAAATTCACCACTAGATCACTTATAATTTGCGATTTTCATATTTTATATTCTCCCTTCTCTAAAAACTTGTGGGTGATGGGAAGAAACTGACTTCATATTAGATTGCAGTTCAAAGAAATTTTGAAGGGCGACAAAAATGTTCAGAATGCCAAACAGTGTAATCTTTGTTATGTAAAGTAAATAAAAACTAATCATATTTGGTCAAAATGATAGTTAAGTGTTCTGTACTTACGTTAAAATAATCTTCACAATGAGAAGTACTTTTTGGAGATATCACTTTTCATAATTTTACACCACTTTTCTTTTAGCATCTACAGTGCTTTCTGTTTTTCATCTATGATTATGTTTTTCTTTTAGTTAAAACCACAGGGTAAAAAATCGAACCTTTGGAAACTTGACAGTAAATTAACCAAAAATACAATCAAATGACAAATCGTGAGTTATGTTGTCACTTCTGAGCGCGGTGTTCAAATCAAAGTCATCAGCGTTGCACTTTCAAATATTTAATTACAAATAAACACATTCATGGTTTCCATTAATGAAATATCTGTTTATGGTATTATATCAACGTATATAATCGCCAGAAAATACAAAAAAAAATCATGCATAATTCCCTAATGAGAGCATTCAACGTAATGCGGTCCAGCGGTAAAGCGATTTTACGCTGCATAGTAGTATAGTAGTAGAAGTAGAAGAGCATTCACAGTTTGGCAGCTTATCACCGTGAATTAGCGTGGGAAGACAAGATACGAATATGGATCAAATAATCACTTAAACCGGATATCTTGAAGATACTGATTTTATCTAACTATGTTGAATGTATGAATGAATATCAAACCGAGAGATAACGAGGCGATCGTCAATACCGCATGCTTAGTTACTTAGTATAACGTAGAAAATACTGATATAACGTATTTTTTTAGAACAGATATTTAGTCAAAAAGATTTATATTTCAAAGGCTTATGTTTAAAATCGCTATGCTATCGACATCACACATTGGTGGGTCTCTATGGTTGACATCAACAGTTTATCACTGTCAAAATAGGTAAGTGCATTTTTTCTGTATTTTATAATGCCATGGCAGCAGAACGATTTCTGAAAATATTTTGAATATGTTTTCAAGTTCCCCAGTTGATGCATAGCAAAACAATTAGCGGTTCTCTACACAGCTTAAGTGCAAATTAAATTCAAGAATGCAAAAGTACTTGGAGTTATTCAGTCAGCAAACCCAATAATGAAATTCAATCCAGCAATTTGCATTAGATCAATACACGACCATTTTTCCGTATTGCAGCGAAATAATCATATTCATTGGCAAGTGGTAACGGAATAGTTCCCGACTCTCGTTTTTATTTTATGTATTTGCATTTATTCAAATTACAGCCTAATTTTATTAAAACAGTAATAGCGGCACGACGTTCTCTCGATATTATGGGCAAACTGAAGAAATGGCAACCTCTCAGCTACTGGAAAACTAGGTGCTATTGATAAATCATTTTGAGGTGAAAACCTTCACATTGCCCCCTAAGTAAAGAAATGGTCTTGCAAAAAGCTTTCTTACGTTTTCAAACAATTCCTTAAGAGGCAAAAAAACGTTAAGTACAAGTTTACATGTTAATAAAAAAACATTTTAAATTTTGCACAATTCTTATTACTCCATTCTCACCCCTTCTGCAAGTCAAAATAGTTGGGAATTTGGTTATAGCTTTAGGAACGCTACTTGAATAAAAATATTTGTTTTTATTTGCGTTTGTCCTCCCAAAGATCTGTTTATCATTTTATCCGTACTCATGGACAGCATATTATGCTTTCCAAGTTTTTGACATGGAAGTACGTACAAACTTCTAGGTCTAACCAAATATGTAATAAAAAAATGGGTTGGTTACGTTACAAGTTAGACTCCAAGAAAAACATGAACATGTTATAACAAAAAACGAAATAGATCAAGTCAGCCAAACAGGCTCCTGAGAAAATTTGTTTTGAGGACAGGTGAACTTTCAGAAAAAGTTCTTTTTTTTCCTGCAGGACTAATTTTCAAAAACTACAACTCTTTTTCGTCCTTGACATAGTAATCCTGATAGTTTTCGAAAATTTCATCAAAATACTTTCCAAGTTATAAATGGGCAAAGAATACCGAGCAGACCGACAGAGAGACCGACACACAGTCAGACTGCGGAATTGAGGATCATGGTTCATCGTTATGTATACTAAGTGACATATAAATCCGAACACCCAGTTTAAATGGTTTCATTTTAATAAAATTTTGTATAAGTACTTAATGAAGCATAATAAGTAAATGATAAAAATTTCAAAATGATTGCACTGCTTTAAAGCCCTTTGACCTTTAATAATGTGTGGATGCACCCTGATGTGCTACGCATTCTCCAACGCGCCTAGGCATGCTTCTGATCAGGTGGTCAATGTCCTCCTGTGGTATCTCATTCCAGGCAACCACCAACTCATCTCGAAGTGCTTCTAGAGTCTGAGGAGGACGTTGCAAATTGAGCAATCTCCTACCCATCATATCGCACACGTGCTCAATTGGGGATAAGTCGGGATATCTTGGTGGCCATGGTAACAATGTGACATCATTATGTTGAAAGAAGTCTATTGTGACTCTTGCAACATGTGGTCGGGCATTATCTTGTTGGAAAGTTGGATCTGCCAGGGTGTCAAGATAGGGTAAAAGATGGGGTTCTAGAACTTCGTGGATATAACGCTGCGCGTTCATGTTACCTCTGATGAAGATTAAAGGTGACCTGGAACCATAAGCTATAGCACCCCAAACCATAACTCCAACAGTGTGATGAACATGTCTTTCAACAAAAAACTGTGGATTCCTCCTTTCACCACGTCGCCTTCTAACCCTGGCACGACCATCGTGCATGCCTAAACAAAATCGAGACTCGTCACTAAAGACAATACTGTTCCATTCCTGATCCCAGAGTGACCGTTGTCTGCACCACTCAAGGCGATTACGTCAGTGTTCTCGAGTTAAATGAAAACAAGTATGAAAACAAGCCAAAACTTCTCATTCATCGGTAAACACTTCGCATGCCAATAGGTCTTCCGTGTTCTGCAAACCATTCATTTGCAATGGACCTGGTAGTGGAGAAACGGTCCCTTAAGGCCAATAATCTTAGGCGGCGATCTTCACGGTCTGTTGTTCTACGGCGGCGTCCAGTGCCCCTTGCTCTTTGCGTACGGCCTTCTCGAAGCCATGCCTGACAACCCTAACCACAGTGCCTACACTTCTTTGCACTCTAACTGCAATTGCCCGAAAAGAAAGTCCAGCTTCCCGAAGTCCCACTATACGGCCCCTATCAAACTCACTAAGTTGACGAAATCGTACAGATCCCGTAGTCTAGGCATCGTAACCGATCGTAAAGGATGTCAAGAACCAAAATCCGCCAACGTTGATTCTTTACTGCGGCTGAAACATTCATTTTTAGAGCGTTAGTGAATTAAAAAAAAGCAGTATAAAAACCGGAATGTCCAACTGATAAGGCTGAAAATTTTTTCACTTGTTATTTACAGTAAGATAAATACATTCACCAACTTTTGTTAAAATAAAACCATTTAAACTGGGTGTTCGGATTTATATGTCACTTAGTACTTAGTATACATCTCATAATAACATCCAAAACACATAATACATCATTTTCGAATTTCTTCACATTTATAGAAAAAACCTGGATATCCAGCACAGTAATGGAATACCCTGTATAGTTACAAACATTTTTGAATTGCATTCTCACAGCGACGGTGCAGGATAATCCTGAATTATTTTCGACTCCGTGGCATACTCCATTTACACAAGTTTGGGCCACTCGGTACATGTGATAGAGTTGCAATGTTGGTCCAGTTCAGTCAGTGGAGATCATGATAAGAATGTAAATAAATATCAACCCGTTGTAATGGGTACGGACTTCTCAACTTGGAAGCGCTGTTCACGGAAATTAGTCGTGAAAAAACGTTGGACCCTTTTATTCTACGTCTTGAGATCAACAATGTACAGAATACAGTCTGAAACAAGTTGCAGAACAAAAAGACGTCAAATGACTACAGAAAAGAACATGTGTGCTAACATATGACACAGCTTATTAGAATGGAAACATGCCTGTGCGGAGGTGGTCGAAATTCTGACGTCTCCATATTCCAATGACCATTTCACATGTACCTTATGTCTCGTCAAGAGTTCAACTCAGAAAAAAAATATACGTTGTACTTCAATTTTATGAAATACCTGAAGTCTGGCAACTTTGCATTTATGCTCATTGCCCCTCGTGAACTGGACATGACCGGTCAAGTACAAAAAATAAAATGAAATGCAGGCCGTTATACAGGTTCATTTTTCGGCGTCTTCTTCATTTTACAATACAACTTTTGACTCTTCCTGGTGCGTAAGGTCAAGCTACCCAAATAAAGCAATCCGATATGGTGTATACGAGGGATAATGGAAAAATAGAAGATACAAATTGTAAGAACCAAAATGGGAATATTTCAAGAAAATAGATGCAGGATCGACGAAAGATCCTATTCGTTCCTGGAGAATTAAATTTTGAAACAACAGTACCCCTATAAAGTCTTAATATCTCGATACAGCCATCTGCGTAATCATTCATCGTCTAATTCGCTGATATGAACTTGAATCGATTTTTCGATTTTTTTAAAAAGAATTCTTTGCCAACTGTCACAATTTAGTTAATATAATGATCTTGTTGTGTAATGCTCCATATATTATAACGTCAGAAGTCATAGTGTTGCCCATTTTTGCTTTGCAATATTTTTATGCATAACGTCAAATAAAATTTGTTATTGTTACTAAAGTTGAAATTTGATATAAAAATACGTAAATAGAAAAACTGATCACTGAATATATACAACTGGTTTTCATGTTGCAATATTGAATTGCAGTTTTATTATTGCAGGTAGTACCTTGCAATCCGAAACGACGATGTGATGTTTACAATTGCGTAGCAAAAATGCACCTGTTTGCAAATATTGCAACATAAATTAATTTATTATCTTTCAGTATTCTAATACAATACTAAAGATTAGTTCTTATCTAAGATATACTTATTCACTGTGTTGAAAGGAGCAAACTCACCTGGAAAGATAAGTATGTTAGTACATCATAAGTGATCATAGGGTACTTCCACACACAGAAATAGTACATGCATAGTTAACGAGAACTTTTGAGCTTATAATGTGTGAGATGGGGGAGGGGGGTTGATATAGACGGGCCTGCCCATGTCGAAACATGCTTGCTTTACATCCCCCTTTTTCAAGTTGTCCACCGTGTTCGTTTTAGTTGGTCCCTGTTAGGTAACTGTCCCACATCTTAGGAGAGAAAACACAAGCAAAAACAAAAGATCGTCTCAAATTCTTGCATAATAACATCAGAAAAACGTATCTGATTTTCAAAGCTTTTCGGAACTACAATACTTCCTCGCCAGTGACGTACGATGCGGTAGATAAGGTGAAAAAGGATGTCAGCCAGCCGAGTATGCTTCGACATGAGCAAGTTCGTCTTTATAATCCCCCTCCCCCAAAAAATCCTAAAAGATGAGTGACGAAGGCTTATATTGAGCTACCCGTCTACCCCTGGGAGCTGCAAGCCAACAGCCATCCTTTTTATTGATGCTCGTACACCCAGTGTACTTGAGAGTTGAAACCTTGTTTCCTTGTGACATCCAAAGCATGCGAAGCCATTTTTCAGTATTATTCCGATTATTGAGATATTTAAGGATAGTTACATGTACAATATTTATTTTTTTCAATACCTACATTTTAGTTGTCAAAGCGGTATGCGGAAATTAACAGAATTCCCTGTTTATTCATTCACTCATTATTTTATTATCTACTACCTTTTTTTATTATTTTCCTATGGCAAGAAAAGCTACTTCTCACTGGACACGATAACGGCGATTTCTCAAGATAATAGTAAAAAAAACATCCAATCAAGGCGTGCGTCGCAAACATATAATTAAGCCTCATAACACATGATATTTCAAAACAGATGCTTTATGATTATGAATGAAAATGACATCAACAAGTACACTTTTAAAAAACTGCACTTCCTACGCAACGCC